TTTTTTTTTTTTTTGCTTTTCTCTGTTCTGTAAGCATTTGTAGCACCAAGAAATTCCACCGATCAAACTACACTATTTGTCCATTTGAAACCTTAAAAAATTGTTATTTTCGCTTCCGTGTTTTATTTCTGAAGTCTTCCCCTAAATTATCTTTTATTTTACCACTGTTTTATAAGCAAAAGTTGACAAATAACTTTAAACCCGCTTCAGCGCTCGATAATTGCTTGTTTACAAATGAGAGTCTAAGTTTCTTACTACTGCAAAAGAACTTCATCTGTCAAAGTTTGCCTGTTTACCAGTTTAGAATACGAACAAAAATTTCAAATCAATCCAATTAAGAAGTGAAAATTTGAGAGAGAAACAACTGCCCAAATTAAAAACTTCATTTATTGGCTTCAAATGTTTAGCTGGTAATTTGTCAGTTTTGACAGAGAAAGTATCAAAACAACAACAACAATATCAGTGTTGGTTCCGCACAGAGATACTTGCATGGGTTTGGTTTTAACGCTGCGTTAAACAGTAACTACTGTTCTGTCCACTTAAGGTACGGAAACTTCAACTGTAGCCCATCAATAATCACTCAAAATAGGCAAAAGTTAAATTTCCAACAAATAACCTTCAATAATGAGCTCAAATTTAATCTACAAAATTAGTTTGGATTCGATGAGAAAACAAATTCTTACTCAAATCCAAAAAAGTTTTTGATGAACAAAAGAGAAGTTCCTCTGAGTTTTAAGTTTTCCTCATCTGTTTTACTTCTTCAGTTGCTTTTTATGTGAAAAGAAACTGTTTTTTTTTTCCTGAATGTTAAGAATGCAGTCCTCAGGTCGACAGTATGAGGTAAGAGAGATTACTGACAAACTAATTTCAGCGGGAAATTACGTCAATGAAGTATTTCTTGACAACGATTAAAATCATGACCACTACTACATGCATTCCTCAGACGTTCTGAAAAGAGAAGCCCATCTAGTCAAAGCTACACTGGTCGTGAGCGTAAATCCAAAATCACTAAAATTTGGAAACTTAACGCACAACATTAAATACGAAAAACACAAAAACATCAAATGCTTCTCATTTTGATGACACCCTTATCCCGTCATCTCAGTCTTGACAGTTTACCGGACGAGAAATAGAACACTATTTTATTAGCCAGCGCTCAGGATAACCGCTAATTTTCGCTAGCAGTTAAGCAAGCTAAGGAATTTTGCAAGGCAGGCAAGGTACT